CAGAATTGGTTGTGCCTGCTGGGAGTTCTCTATATGTCCCATGAAGGAGAGTCACTTGGTCTATCAAACGAGTTCGCAATACTTTTCAATCTGCTTAACAATGTATAGTTTGTAGAATTCCAAAAGGCCAACTATATTTTTATAAATGAAACCTTGAACCTATTGCTATGGGTTGCGGCTCTTTGAGGTCGCGTGGTGAAGCATGCGATCCCGCAGCAGAAGCGCTTGGAACTCAACAAGGCAAGCGTCCCTGGGATGGGAGATGATGGAAGTAGGGGGGAGCAACTGGTGAAGTAGGTTGACAATTTGTTGCATGTTGTTGCCTGGTTTCTTGTGAAACACATGTGGATGTGATACTTGTTTTTCTGGTGGCTGTGTCTCACTAGCTGCAGGAGAACAGAACCAACCACAGAACACGTGACTTGGGAGACATCAATCAACACAGAAACAAGAACTGCCCCGTTGAATGTGTCCGGAAACCCACATCATCGGAGGTGATAAGACAACTCACAATATGTTTCTTGACTGTAATCTGATGTGATATTTCTTTCAGCAGCTGACTTATATAATATTTAATGTTTGCTCGAATCTTTGGGCCATTGGTGAAACAAGTTCGAAGATACCAATTTCTGTCGCCCAAGCGCCAGACCCGACGTCCCGACGACGTCCCGACGACCCGACGTTCATACTTTCTCGTCACCAGCAAGGTCTGACCGGACCACAGCCATTCCGAAGAACCGTTGCATATTTGCAGAATTTAGAATCTCTACACCAGTGTTTCCGTCAAACTGATGGCAGAAAACATCCCACCACCGAACATACACTCGACACATCTCCACCTGGAAAATACCAAAAAGAGGGCGCTGTTCCCTCAGGACTCGCCGAAGAGCTCGGGTCAATTCTCTGCCAGCGCCTTTGGGCCGCTTTTCGTCGACTCTCAGGGCTCAGAGCTGTTTTGGCTCGACTCTCTTGGCTGGGGTCGTGGAAGCCATATAAATCAAACCAAGTGAATATGCAACAACCCAGATTCTGAAGGGGGTAGAATGACACCAAGAACGACGGAGCTGGGCAAAGAAATGATGGCTGGCGTCGGCTTATGACAACTCTTTTACCCCAAGGTTTCATACCCCTGTGTTGTTTTGTTCCTCATTTCACCATTTATTCTTCCAACTTGCCCTTGTTCGCCGATCGATACACCAACAACAAGGAGTTGACCAAGACTTAAATGCATAATGTAATTTACAGTAATCTGATTTTTGTTGTTTCGTTCCACCAGTCAGGACTCAGAAGTGCACCTCAACCGCCGAACTCTAGGTCATCCTCCTCAATTCCATCAGTTCTCAAAGTCACATTTTGCAAGAGACACCCAGCATTTGGCAAAACCTTGGGCTATGTTTTTTCTTCACCCAATCCTTGAATTCGCTCTCAGAGAAGTCACATCAAAGATGCCCGAGCTGGGATTGATGGGCTGCGCCCGAGCTGCCATTCCCACCGTCGGTGCGTTTTGTGCCGTGAGTGCCTTGGTAATGGAAGGGCCGTTTGACCGTCGTAGGTGATGTTGATCTGAGAAGATCTACATAAAGGCTTTGAACAATCATTTGAATCATCTGGGTGGTGCATTACTTACTTGCTACTTTTCAATCCTATGACTACCCCAGTTGACTAATACTTCTGGGAAGGGCCGGGAAGGGTTTTAACCACCGTCCAGTCCAGCCATGGTTTATGCTGGATTCCAAGCAAACATGTTTGTTGCAGAACCTGGACATGCGACCTCAACTTTGCAGCAATAAAATGCATACATATACAAGTTTGCTTGACATTCCTAGTTCGGGGTGTTATAGGGATAAACAAGCCAATGGAATGAGGAGAAACCCTTTGACACACCATCCACTCCCCGGCTACCGAGAAGTGGAACATGTATATGGATGGCATACAATGCATTTAGAGCCCAACAGCATTGCACAACATGTCAGCAAATGTCGTTTGATTTGTTTGAATGTTTGGATGTTGTTTTGTAAGAATGTGCAGAGGTTGATGGCATTTGGTGTCCTCTCCAGCTACCATGGTCGGTGATCAGCAAGGCAGCAAACAGCAGTAAACAGTCGTAAACAGTAGTGCAGCAAACAGCAGGTGAGCTCTCTCTCTCTCTCTCTCACTCTCTCTCTCTCTCTTTTCTTTATGTCAATAAAGGCGGGTAAGAAAAAAGAAAAACACCTCGGGTGCATATTTTTTTACCCCAGCCGCTTGCTCCAACTCCCATCAAAAATACAAACATGCAGAAGAACATCGCTGGAATCACCCCCGTTTTTCAGAGACAAATAGATTGCAGTCTCTAACATGCATCCCAGCAGGAGTGATGCAGCCCTCCATGTCCATCTACTCGCTCAAGGGACCAAATGAGATCCTTTTGTGAGTTTGTATAGATTGCAGACACTTGATTCCAACTTTCCCAGACACTTCATGAATCCACGAACAAACATATAAGTAGGGTTGTCCTATTAGCTGTAACAGTCAGTAAACAAGTATCATCATTTTTGAACAAGGCCTTTACCAACCATCGTCATCCACTGTTACAGGTAATAGGATAGACCCAACATATAAGCCTACATTAGTCTTTGAAATAACCCCACTGTAGATTAAATTTCCACACATGGAGTATTTGGACTTGCATGAAACACACAAATGTGTTAGGAAATTACCGCCATGATGTACTATAGCCAGGAAACAAGGAGGCGGTCACCACCGCGCACCCTGATGAGCAGGCAAAGCTTGCAAAAACTTGCGACAGTGAACAGGTGCTTCCCCAAGACCGGAAGGTTTTCGTTTCAATTGGGAAGATTGATGCATTCGACTCCAAGGTCTCTTCGTTTTCTCTCGCGTGCTTTGCAAAAGCAGTAGTAGCCCCCAGTTTTTGGCGGCAGGCGCGTTCGTTCGCTTCAGACACCGTGGCACGTCAGACAGAGTGATAAGATTTGACGTCAGCAGACTGCGGGGGTTTAAGGATGTATAAGGTAGCTTTTTTTCGGCGCTACAATTTGATGATAGAGATGGTCCACATAAATGTCCACATGCTGTACAGCTGTTTCAGCTGTTTGGTTGCGTGATTTTTGATGCCCAGACAATCCTTGGACCCTCCATAGGACCCTCAAACCTTTGCATTTTGAGTGTTTGGACGATTTTTGGCGGAGATCCATCCTGTTGCCAACAAAAAGTCCTTTTGCACCATCAGTCGTGGCCAGGATGGAAGATGCAACATGTGGGGTACCACATGGTTTGAGAAACTAGCAGCAATCTAGCTCCTGACATAAGGCTTTAAGGCAACCAATAACACCGCCGACTCTAGACTAGACGTCACACACACCGGTGCTCACTGTGCACAGAACCCGGTGCGGCGCGGTGGTTTGTCCGGTGCTCCGTGTTTCCAAGCTGGGTCAGACTTGGAGCGTGACCAAGCCTCCTTGAAGCAAGTGGAGCTCTTACGAGCTGAAGTTTACAGAGGCGCGGCAATGGTTCGGCAATTGGCAGAGTGGATGGATGGATTACGGAAGAGGTTTGGTTTGGTTTGGTTTGGTTTGATCTTTGTTTCATCAAGTGGGTTTGAGGGCGATGGTCCCACTGTCGAGTTGGCTTGATCCCTGTTAGTCAATACTCGGGTTCCATCAATTGTTGGTCCCTGTTGGTCGACATTTGTAAGAGTTTTAGTGCTGCCGGGAATGGAATGTAGGCATCGGCCATGCCAGAATTGATGAACACTTCATCAGGAAGCTATAGTCAGAAACTTGAGTGATCGCCAAAACTAGCTGCCACCACTTAGACATGTAGTGCTACAACTCCTTGATATTTGGTAATGTTCGTGCATGTTGTTTTACAGAGGCAATCTCCAAGAGCATTCTCCGTTACATGTCGCAAGGGCTCCTTATCATTTAAAGGCCAGGCTGCGCTTTAAAAAAGATTCAGACGAATCCCAATCTCCCAGTTAGCTTCTTGTTTCCAATAGCTTCTTGTTACTAGTAGTAAGGCCAGGAGCCCCGTTCGTAGCTTCTTGTTCCTAGTAGCGATGCCCTTTGCTCCGACCGTAGCGTTCCTTGCTCCGTTCCGGTGAGAAGTGACCAATGCCAACGGCGTCCCATCCGGTGAGTTTGTCACACATCCGGGGACACCGAACGGCCTCCTTCCTCCGTTCGGAACCGGCACGTAGTGATAACCATGCCAGGTAATGGCCAAGGGCTACATACTTAAAAATCCGAGAGTAGTTCTTGTATGTTCTTGTTCTATTCCGCACCAAGAGGCGCGGGTATTGCTCGCGCGCCCTGTAAGACGCGCACGTCCGCGTCTTAACTCCGACGACGCAGGTCAGACGGATGTCTTGCAGGCGTGGATTGGGACCCCTTCGGACGAAGAGGTGAGGGATTTGTTTGATGTATATAGAGGGACCCCTTCTTCTGATCCCGCTGCCGGCGCAAAGTAGAATCACCTTCGGGATTGCAATTGTTGGTCTATAAATGTCGACTATGACTAAGGCTTATAATGGTTTCTTTTGTTTTTGTCCGTTGGTCCCCCAGCTGTTCATGAAACAGAGTTCGACCGGACAACAAAACCCTCGTCGATGAGCACACGTGGCATACCGTCTCTCCATGTCTCCATCGCACACCTCTCGACTGTGAGAGACCATCGTCGTCCCTTCGGCCTTTCCAAACGTGTGGCAGCCGACGGGTGGCTGAGGCCTTGGAGAACCTACGACTGCAGGTGGCAGAGTCCAAGTGCCCTGATGGCAATCTCCCGGTGTCATTGATGTAATCGAATGATCATTGATGCGAGTCTCTGGGGTATGGGAATCAATCGCACACTGTCTGGGCGCTGTTTGCGAAGGATTTCAGAGGAACTGTTGGCATTGCCAGATACAGATCATGAAACACGTTGTTGGGCCGCCCGTGCAGATGATGTTCTGACACTGCCACTAGCGACTGGTGTTTTAGATTTGTCCTTGACGAATCCGGCAGTTATGATGATCGTGAGGTGTCCCATCTCGGTACTTAATCTATTTCCCTTGTTCGTTTGTCATTGGCCAGAATGCAGTACGGTAGACAAATCAGTAGATGCTTACTCTATAGATCATGAAGAGCCTTTCAGGTGGGTCAGATAGTCTTGGTAGATCAGCATGAGGACTCAGCCATCGAGGCGCGCCCTACCAGTTCCTGTGCCGGCCCACCTGTCGAACAACGCCACATTGGCGGCCAATGCGACGGCGCCGCCCACACCCACGCCGACGGTGCCGCCTGTGCGCCTGCCTCCTCTTCCGGTGGCTGCGCCAGTGACAGCCGGGCCCACGGCCGCTGTGACCATGGCACCCCTCGCGACGAATTTGAGGCCATGATCTCAACAGGGTCTGAAAGCAAGTTGATGTTTTGAGGTTTCCAGGACCCCAAAGGTGAGATGCTCAAAAGTGAGCGCTGTAGCTTGGCGCACTCATTCGCGAGGCAGGGTGATGGCCCCATCTGGGACAGCAAAGTGATCATGATCGACTCCTGGCAATTCCTTGCTCGGCATGTGAGCAAAGTGCTGAAGGTTAGCACTCACGTTTCTTCAAGAAGGGAAACATTGATTTTCTTTGAAAAAACGATAGTATAATCCCAAAAACGATACCTAGCCTTGTGACGGTACACATCTTGGAATCTGTCTTTGCCTATTGACACCGTTGACGCTCGACACAGTGTATGCCAAGGTTGTTTTGCATATGGCTTGCCATGCTAGTTGGACATTCCATTTTATTTTGCTCAACTCAGAGTGCCTTTCCTTCTTGATCAACTCAGAGTGGAAGAACGAAGCGGTATGGGCTGCCATCGTTTTAATCCGGCAAATGCTGCTCCAAGACTTCTTGCTGATCCGTTTCGCGCACACACACAACAAGATGTTGCTTTCTTCTTGGAAGCTTTTTCGGGTTCAAAAAGCTCCCGCAGCTTCTGTTCGACCTCGCGGTCCTCGGTCAGGTGGTTCCCAGGTGTGTCGTGTTTCCACCCAATTGGCGCCACCGAGGAGCGGAAGGCGGAGAAGCAATACTGGTACCAGCGCCAGGAGAAGAATGTGCCCTGGCGGGGTGGTTGGAGAAAGGGGACGTGCTTAGCACTCTTGAGGTTTTTGTTGGGGAGGCAGGCACATGCTCGTGCTCCTACTCTTGGCTGAAGACATCATGAACCATGTAGGTATAGCGGTATAGGGTCCAAATGAACATCGCATGTTCATTCATTTGGTGAGGCAAGTCTTTACCCCCACTTGCGATCTCTGGGGAGGGAGCATGTTCCAGCTGTCCATGGTCCAGACGTCCGAGGCTCCAATTCACCCGGCCTTCATCAAATACAACTCCAATTGGCCATGCCTTTGGGGCGAGGAGAGACTCATGGGTCGATGGATGGCTGCCAGGCCTTGCGCAATGCAAGGGCAATCATTGGAGATGGGCTCGTCACGATTGGAACATATCATACAAAGATTAACAAACACAGGCAGTGCACTAAGACACTAAGATCTATCCGCCGATTCCAGGGACGTGCAGGACATGTTGAACGGAAGTTCCATGCAGGACATTTTGGACATGTCAATGAAGGTAGATCGGATTCCGCTGAAGAGTTCAGAACTCATGAGATTGGCTAAGATCACTGATATGCTGAAGAGATCTGGACAAAGCGACATGCAACTTCCGAATCCGCTTTAAGCTTACTTAAGTTATAGATGATTACCATTGAATACCGCTAAACGCCGCTCACCCAACGCACTTCCGACAAAAAGACGTGCATGTTCACACGACCAACACCGTGCCTTCCTCCTCCCCTTGGATGTCACTCCGTCTTCGCTCCACACGGGGAGCGAAGCGGCAGGAATACACCGGTCAAGGAAGTGGCGATGGAAACAAGTGGACCTGCGGTGCCCGGCTCATCCAAGCGCCTTGTGCCTCGGTACCGGCGAGGTGCGGTCCAGACCGGGTGTCTGCCTGGTCTATACTTGGATAGGGTTGGTATACGGGGTGTTTGAAACGACCCCTTAGGATCCAAACAATATAAACGACTCCTTAGGATCCTGAAACGACCCCTTAGGATCCAAACGATACCCCTACTGGGGTCTATCTACTGAATAGATCTAAATAGGTGGTGTTCTTGGTTTCTCAATCGCATGGCACCACGTGACGACACTTGGGGTTTTCGCGTTCGAACGTTGTTCTTTTGTTGTTCATGTTTGAATGAGGGTTGGACATGCTGAAGAGGTTGTGTTTCTTTCAAACACCTGAGTCTGACTGCTGCCTAATTGACCCACTTTGTGCTTGTTATGTTGTTTCCTCAGTTAAGAATCATGTATTTGCCCGTGTTCGAGGTGTGGTCTATTCCTTTGGATCCAACAATGACATGAAGTGCCTGGGCCGAAAGAGATCGATTGATGGTCTTTGAGCTGATGGATGCGGCGATGGATGCTTCCCTTCGATCGATTGAGGATTCAGATGTCCTGTAGGAGGATCGACCCAGCCATCACAGGTAGCTCAGGCTATTTCAGATTGGGGAACTCTGCAAGAGGATGGTGATTGAGAGGACAAATAAACCAATCACTTTGGACTGTTGGGCCGCTATGATGTGCCTTCATCATCTTCATCCTTCCTTGAGCTTTGGATCATCCGTCCGAACCACTGAGTTCCAAAGAACTCCGCATGCGAAGACGGTCACCAGACCCATCACCATGCTCCATCCGACTCCTACGAGCCTTTTTTTCCGACCTACAACCCACAAGAATCTGAAAGGTATGCAAGCAAAAGGAACACGAAGCCGAACGCTGAACGTCCAGACCAATCGGTCCAGACCCAATCGATCGGTCGACGTAGAAAGGACCTTTGTCTCTCTCAAAGTGAGACTCTCTCGTGGTCAGATGGGGATCAGGCTGAAACGAAGTCGGGGACTCCCCCAATCACCCCGCCCTTTGCATCCGCTGTAAGTCCAGGTTTGAGTTGGGCATCCATGAGTTGGGCCTCCACTGTGAGATCCACATCTACGATCCCACCAGTCCGGAGCCGCGGGATGCCCGGCGCATAGGCGCCGGGTCCTGCGTGGCGTCGCGTGGCGTCGCGCCGCGGGAAGAAAACGGTGGTGAGGAGTTGGGGCAATGGTGGTAGATCGGTCCCGTGGCTATGAATCACCAGAGATGAATATGACTATTCAAGAGAAGTCACCGATGTGTGAGGCCATGTTGTTCATGTGCAAAGTTGAAGAATTGCCAGATTTTAGAGCTTCTTGGCACAGAAACAACACATCTTGCAGTTCATGTTTTGTGTCACGTAGCCAACAATCAATTCAAACATAGAACAACAAAAGAAGTGAGGTAGCGTGAGAATTACATATTAATGCAAGATAATGCAAGAGATATTTGAAAGTCCTACATGCACGTGCAAGCCAGCAAGCTCCTCCTCCGTCGCCGCGCTTCCAAGCGCGCAGGCGCTCGCTTCCACAAGGTGGGTCTGGGTGCACGCGACGGGTTCCAAGGCCGCTTTCCGGCCGCTTGGATGGAGGAGCGGTGGAAGGCCCTTGGAGATCTTGGAGCCCCTTGTTGAATTTAGATGAGACATGATGAGAATCAGTGGATAACAACCGCCCATAGAATCTCTTGAAGTACATCCTCAAAACATATGGTTGCATCGCACTCAATTCTTGTGGGAAGGTCAGTGCAAAGATTGCTCCTGGAGGGATGCTTGATCAAGATCCAACAATACTGCTACAGTTGAAGGTTTGCTGCCATAACCTCAGGATCGCAATCTGCAACTCCAACGAGGCCTCACTCACTCCCCTTAACGCATACAGCTGCCAAAAAACACGTCACCTATACGAGCAGGTATACCGTATACCATCTGAACAGTTTCTCACCGCACAACTGCAGTCAGACTGAGCCAACCCCAGCAACCTTTTACCCCCTTGTTGAGTCCCACCTTGTGTGGACTGCCAATGGTCAAGATCTGACTCTTCTCCACTGAGTCGCAAGCAACATGCAGTGTCGATCAAGGATTCTGGGTGTGCTTGAGCAAGCAGTGTCGGTCTGCCGGTCATAGGGATTCTTGTGTCCAAAAACATCTCTGAACGGGCACCATTCACGTGATCGTTTCTTCTCTACATAGAAGACGTATACAAACACCTTTGCCCACACAGTGTGGCTGACCAAAGTACTCCCCGAAGCCATTCTCAAAAAGACATAAAGAGACAATCCACCTATATCCACCCTACATGGGCTTTTGATGCATGACTTTTTGCCCTGAAGCCTAACCTTCGAAGACCGAGGTGAAGACTTTAAAAAGTCTCATGAAGGAGAATGGCCATAGCCACATCGATATCCTCAAGGTGCGGAGGTCGCACGCGTCGCAACTCAACAGCGCCAGTGGCAGCACCGACGGCAGCGCGCTTGGCTGTGTTGTCCCTTTTGGTTTATGACACCGAACGAACACCACGCTTTCTCAGCAGCTGGTAGAGCTACGTTCTGTTACCTGGATCTGAGTGAAGGTTTCAAAGGGATGCTTCTATAGTGGATGCTTTTTGATGAAGTTTCTTTTGCATGCTTTTTAGGGGAATCCGGAGTTTTCACTTTATTTGACGTGCTGGTCCCCTGCTGGTGTGTTGCAAACACCTCTAACCCGAGTCAAAACCAGGTGCCGACTCGTCCGCGCGCTGCGCCAGGTGGACATCGAGGATGCGGAGCACGAAGCCATCCCCCAGATCGCCGCTGGGAGGGAGAAAACCGACTGGGTCGCCCAACGGCGTGAACGAAGCCGAAGCTTGGGTGGTGACAGGTGGTGACCAACGAATTGGGGTGGCTAAGCTGCTCAAAAAGAAACATCACCAGCACCTTCAAACGGGTCTCCAATGGAATACCCTTCATTACTTGTGGATCTCCATTGGACACTGCTTTGAAGGTCTAGGAACACTCAAATTTTCTATGCCAATGCCAGTGGAAGATGTTTCTGAGGTTTATTTCGAAAACGAAGAAGGTCAACTGTGTGGGCGTAGTTTTGAGAGCCTCTTTTCATTGGCACTCCCAAGCATCAAGACGTACCTGTCCAATCACCAAGCTTAGTTGCAGGGGCACATAGGGGCACCCAGTGCATCAGAGTATCGCGCCACTAGTGCCTTAGGTTAGAGCTTTTGTTCAGGTCAACTTCCATACTATCAGGACGTGCGCTCACGCTGGAGCAGCTGATCTGCACCCGCCCTTTCCATCTAGTGAGGTGGCAATGACCTGTGTAGAACCAATGCCACTATAGGTCGGAAAAGTTCTGCAAACTTCGTCACCAAGATGGCTACCCCTTCTCCCCCTTCGCTGTGTTCTCCTCATGGATCGGTGCCGACACCGGCGTGACACACCAGAAGGGTGAGACAGGATGCGAGTCACAAACGTACCGGGCACGGTCGAGTGTACGGTCGAGTGGAATTTGCATGGAAAGGGGTATATAGACTTTTCCTTTTTTTTATGCGGTATTCAGAATGTTTTATAGAAGTCGCCAAGAGTATTTGGTATAGCCGCTTAGCCGCGTGGACTTCCACAGTTAGCTGTCGTCACTTTCATCCTGCTATATCCTGCTTGCTTTTGACTCCCTGGATGTGATGCTTTCCGGTTGCATGCCCTGGACTGTAAAAAGCTGAGCATTGGAGACACTGAGGACACTGAGATTACAAAGACCCTTGATTCTGTAAAGATCAAGCCACGGCTATACTCTTCATTAAGTGGACCTTGACCACAGCCTTGACAACAGGTCCTCCACTTGTAGATGTCATCGGTGAGTCCATCTGAGGCCCATGAGGGCTGGCCCTCCGTTGGGCAATTCCTGGTCGAGGTGCACATCAGGACCGACAGCGATGCACAGCGGTTGATCGGAGAGGTGAGGATTGCACATCGGAGAGGTGGGGGTTGTTGGATGATGGAATTGGTTGTTGTCTTATAGTTGATCCTGACACCCCTAGTATGAGTGGCGCCATGTTTCTGGAGTGTGTCCGAAATCCATGAGAAACCAGTGTGTCTTACCACCGCGACATAGCGCGACTCCACACGTTTAGTTTAGCTGGCAAGCAATGCAGGTTGATGTGCTCCAGTGCACTGGAGCTTGCAAGACATGATTCCGGATTCACCCCTCCACTACCCACTACCCACCCAGATCAGGCTGGTGCGGACACCTATGATGCAAGAGCCTCTCTCAAAGAAGGATAGCAGCCAAAGCCTACAATAGTGACACATTTGTGCACAATCCTCCATGCAGTTTTGTGTCTGGTATTCCGATGCTCAGGGTTTGTTATCAGCTACAGCGATTCACAAGTTGATAAAGGTTTCGAGGTGAAAGCATTCGGTTTCTCCGCCGAATCGGTTTCTCCGCCGAAATGGAGAGGAACTTTGCAAATGACATGAGTTTGGACAAGCTTATCACTTTGATCGAGAAGGGCAACTTGCGTCTCTTCCATCAGGCAGGGATGAACGCAGACAATTTAGATTCAGATAAAAAACGCATTCGAAGGAGTGTGGTTTGTGTTGAAGGCCATTTTAATACGATTGCTGGATCGATGGGTTATATGTGTTGTTCCCTCTTCCTGCAGGGTTGGAAACAACTCCGGCTTGCTTGCTGTCTGGAAAGAAGCAACAAAGCGTGTTGTTAAAGGTTGTAATACAACGACCGCTTTATTCCTGCATGTATTTTGCCAATACACCCACATGAATTTTGTTTGTACATCAAATCAGAAACACCATGAAACATGTTTTCTTGTTTGGAACTGGTGTTCGCTGCATCATCAAACATCCCACTTCCCCTGCGGCAGAAAGCTGTAGACTGCAGAAAACCGTGCACAGGAGGTGAATTGGCAATACGGCGCCAGCTGCTGTACCGAGCCGCTCGGGGCCATTTTTCCAAGTTGTGAGGCGTGCAAACGAACGTTTGCAGCTGGCAGGGCCTGAACAAGTTTCTGACCGCTGGAAAAAGGTTGCCAATATTTATACCATACGGGCCACGAAGGAACAATATGTCAAAGGTTGGAACAACATTTAACCTTCCTCAATTGAATTGGACATATGCTGTGTTTACTTTGTGACTGTTAATTACAATATAGTGGGATTGCTTTAAAGTTGAGTCTGTCACTTTACCTCGGAGATCATGTCCACAAACCCAGCAAATGCCAGTGCCAGTTTTGTGCTGAACACACATCGTTGTGCTGAACACAGGGCACCCCGTGAAACACGGCCTCGACCGTGCCCAGGTACGCCTTTATCCACAAGGACTGGCGCCCGGAACGAAAAAAGTACGACATGAGCCTCGCCGGGTCACACTTGTCGATGGTGTGTGCGCTTCGTTTGTTTTGTGTTGTTCGCGGAAATCGGAGAAGGTGGAGTTACTTTGAGTCCTTGAGCTTTGTGGAAACAAGTGAAAACAACAAAGACAATCCCTTCGGTCATTGAGAACAATAATGCATCTGGAAATCCACTGCACCTATTATCATACCGATTATACCCAACAAAATTCACCCAAGCACCTAACCATCCGCAACCATTCACACCATCTGCCAACCATTCACCCTATCGGCACCTAAGGATGATGGCCGCGACCTTTGTGGATGTCCCACTGCGCGACCCTCGTCAGCCGCTGCCGAGCCACTTGCGTCCGCCGCAAGTGCGGTATCCGGCGCAGATGCCGCAGGCCGTGCTGCCTCGAGCGCATGGGCCACGGTAGGAGGTCAATGCGAAGAGCGGAGCGGAGAGGAGTTTGGCGGAAGAAATGAGAGAGGGCACGACCACGCAGATGGCAAGCCGATCTGTCACACAGAGTAGTTCTTCTTGTAGAAATTGAAACGCACAATTTGAGGGGAGTGTTGGGATAGAAGCAATACAACAGCACAATCATACCCTCCATGGAACAATTGACCATGCTGAAACTGGACACCGAGCTGCCATGGTGCGTGCGCTGGTGCTTCCCTCAACTGGTCAGACTAGAGTACATCGAGGTGACAAGCACCATAGTGATTGAGGGAAATCCCTGGGTCCAAGGAGCAAACCCAAGGAGAAGATGGAAATCACGGGAGTCTTTGGTGTCAAAGATGCACCAAAGCCTCACTCCTTATCAGGGTGCCACCACCCTGATGGCAGCGAGCAGCACAACAAGCCATCTACATAATGTAAGATATCCGCATATATATATATATAGACTTCTAGACTTATATCTTAAGTCCGTGCGCACGGTTGGTTGGTTTCACCCATTTCCAGCATCTTTGCACATCCGTCCGTGTCGCGCCGCCCACCGGTTTGCTGCTGCTACGCTTGTCACTGGCGCGCTGCCTCCTTCGTCTCAGAGGCTTCGGTTCATCCGCTCGACGATCTCCATGAAATGGAGAGTAGAAGGGCTCGTAGGCTGGCAATGTTCCCCTGCGAGCCAAGCCAAGCGACGGTTGGCGAAAGGATTTATGTTGGGGCACCTCCCCACATCGAGCTTCTTTTTGGATCAAGGGGTGAAGCATGATGCAGGGTCACTTCATCATGGGATCTCCCTGAGATGTTAAATGATCAATCGTTTTGTGATTCCTCGCTAGAATTGTTTCCTTTGTTTACTTGAGAGGTATCCTGAGGTATCAATATCACCTGGGACACGGTGAAACTTTCAGGTCACGCACTGTCACTCAGACCAACAAATCATATTTGAGTGAAGATTGATTGGGATGGGACCTTGAAATTCACCAAATGCACCAAAAGTATTGGCAATCAGCAACCATACAACAGACATCAGCAGACACCAACTTAGAACGTCCCACAAGTACCAAGCAAGACCTGTTGCTTTTGCTTTGTGTTGTAGCGTTGGTTTGGGACCATAGTTTGCAGGTCACAGAAATGGATCTGTCGAGTTGATGTTTAATCAGCAAGCCGACTTGTTTTATAAATTTCTATATGATTGACTATGCGTATACCTGCTTGCTGGCGGCATAGTTGCTAGAGAGAAGCATACCCCGCAAACATACACAAATAGTGATGGGGAGCTCCAAATCTGTGGAAAGGGAATCAGGTCGTCAACATGGAAGTCGGCTTCTGAGAATCCGACACCAACCGCACTGTGCGGCATTTAAGTGATCCTCGTTTGGTCGTGTTTCACCACTTCCAAAAAGAGAAGTCCAAACCGGCTAGAGCGATCGTGCAAAAGGAGCTCGCTGAAGGCAGAAGTGCCCTGGAGAGAATCTGCACAGAGACGGACTTCTGAGATCGCCTCAAAAAACAACAGTTTTTCAAGGATGTCTCCGGCTAAGCCAGCTCAATACATGATCAACTCCAGGCTCAATGCTCTCAATGCTCTCGACAGAGCAGAACCATTTGCCTAGCCACATTGTGCGACCTCACCCCGCTTCTCTTCGAGGGCTGCAAGAGCTTTCACAACCTGAAGTGGCAACCTTGGTACTCCACGGTGCCCCATCGCGGTTTTGCTGCGTCAGGACTAAGGCAACTGGTCCATTGATAGGGGAAGCCTATATGGACTGCGCGCTTCTTTAGTTTCTCTCGCTAACGAATACAGAGATTACTGACTTAATCTGACTTATGGCGCTTATGGTATCTCATTCTCATTGATTAATCATATTATACACATTTAGTAGTTATAATATATATATATATCCGTACGTGTGAGATCACTATGAGATGCCGGTTATTCCCTGCAAGTCGAAAAATCAACCATTGCACCATTTCCACGTCCTTGAGAAGAATACTCCAACTCCCAAGACACCACGTCCTGGATGACGCACAAATGGTTCCCTCAAAAGAAGTTCTAACGTTGCACATTTGATGAGTTTGACATCCACCTCCCAAGCACCAGATCAACCCACTACTGGCTTGTACTAGTATGTAGTGAGGTTGAGGGAGCCTCAATTCCTGGGCTCACTTCCAGAAGTCCAATCCATCACTCAAAAAGCTAGGACTTAGTACAGTACGGTGGTGATTTCGATGAACATTTGCCAGTTGGACCACTTTGCACCGAAAGTGACCTTGATGCCCAATACCTACCCTTCACTGATACCTCCGTCTCACATTCGACACGGTCATGCCAGTCGCAGCGACCGGTCCCACTTCACCACCCTCGCCACATGTCACCACCGTCGGGCATCCGCCCCTCGTCGCGACAGGTGCCGCTTCGTCAGAGCGAGGGCGACGGACGGGCTGAAAAGAAAAGGGATGACAAGAGGTTGGCGGAACAGAGCTGCAGGGTGACACGTTTGAATTTGGAGCATTTACAATCTCAGCATGTCTCAGCCCCATTTCATACCCTATTTATTCATAGAGTCATTAGTACGTTTTATAATGTTTCCCCACCTGCCAGGTGAGGGTCGTTAGATTTTATGGCAGCCCCATCTCCTCCTCCGCCTCCTCCTTCTCCTCCTCCTCGTCCTCCTCGACCATCCACGCCCAGTGTTCCCCGCCGACCTCAACCACGACCATCCACGCCCAGTGTTCCCTGCCGGACCTCA